TTAGCGACTGATAGGATTTCTAAGACAATTTAAAGGAGATCCAACCAGCACTGGAAGATTCATAGAAGTGGATCCAACGGCAATAAATGGTACAAAGAAAAACTAACCCCCTCATAAAAAAAATACAGAGGCGGTCATTAAATGGCCAACCGTGTTGGAAGTTGGGTGTGCAGAATGACCAATACTTGCTGCTCAATGATCAAACGCCACCGTACAGTTGAATTTTTCGGAATCTGATCAACACACCCCATAACTTTGAGCATGAAAATATGGGTGGGAATTGATGTCCTTCTGAGCTTCGTATGTTAAATGGTCGAATGCCGTATGCTGTGCTTTGTTCCGTACAGAGACACCAAGATGATAGTGTCGGTGTTTAAATCTGCCACACGCTTTTGTGTTTTTTTTTACAACTTCCTATTGCCACTGTAGTTTTATCGTTCTAGGTAAGTTATTCTCGTATGTTTTAGTGGGATCAAGCGGATTTAAGACTGTCTAGGTGTGTTGGGTAAATGTCAACTCATTTTGACTAAGTTTGTCGATAATGACATTACGGAAAAAAAGAACAAATAGCGGAGGATGGAAATTGGACGATGGGTTTGAAAGATTGATGTGCTTCTTGCCCTAACAAGTGTGGTCTATTAACAAAAAGAAGAAAAAATGTGTGAGCGATGATTCATTGATTTTGGAAGCAACCAATAATAATATATAAAATTGACTTGTGATAATTTGATGTGACATCAATTAATTTTTCTTATATGTAATGATAGCGATTAAAAAATTAAATTACGATTAGAGGCATACAAATAACGTTTAATATTTTTTAATTGTAACAATAAAAATGAACATAACTCTATAATAAGGCAACATTTTGTGGTAACTATTAAAAAAAAAAAAAAGATTCGATTATACAGTAGAATCTCTTTAAAAAAACATTTTGTGGTAACTATTAAAATCATGACTACGTAGATATTTTGGGGAGAATGTGTTTTTTGGGTACGTGATATATAGACGAAGCCAAGCTATAAAGCAACGTGGACCAAATACATAGGCTCCAACGGCCATCAAAGGGCAGCTATAAAGCTATAAAGCCAAGCTATATTTGGACGAGGCCAAGCTATAAAGCAACCTGCCACTCAAGCAGGAATTGATCGAGGATTTTTTACGGATTCTTTGCGAAGATTTTGAAGATTCTTTAATCATATTTATTTATTGTATATCGTGTGATTAAAAATTATTATAAATTTTGTTATTTAAAATTAAATTTAAACAGTACTTGACGAAAACTGACCACACGGTATACGATAAACGAATGTGATTAGAGGATCTCCAAAATCCTCACAAAAAAAATCCAACGAGGATCCTTTCTCGTAAATGAAGCCACATCAAAGTATGACAATAACAATAACAATAACAGCATTTTTACTCACCATCATAATTATGATGTATGTTCATCATATATCTAGTTATGTGTTTTTTCAATTAACTCTAGTTTTTTTTAATTATAACTGAGCTGTGATAATTCGATGTGACATCAACTAGTATTTCTTAATTGCAGTGGCAGTGGGATTGCAAAGCCTGCCTCCCCCTCTCCCCCAAGCAATTCACTCCAGCCCAAAGAGTTGGGCTCCAGTCGAGCTCCCCGGAGCAGTGACGCAAGGTTGATGTCATGATGATGTCAGCCGTTAATAAAAAATATAAAATATTAATTAAAAATATAAAATATATAAAATAATTATAATTTAATTTTCTGTAAATATTTAACCATGTTATTCCACCTTACCGTGCTTACACTACATTTTAATATTTTCAACCAATTTTTTTATTGTTATCGGAGATTAAGAATAAAATTATTTTTTATTATAAAAATACTAATATTTTAATACAAATTGTATGGCATATTCAGTTTAGGGGTGCACTGGCAGTTGTTGTTCATTTAAGGGGATTGAGTTGCCTAAGGGCCTAGCAACCTTGGAACTGCTCTAACCATGTTCTTCCACCTTACATAATCATGACACGTGGTGCTACAAGATTTGTTTTAAAAATCTACTAAAAAATCTATCTACAAAAATTGTATTTTCGGATAATAACAGTGATGAGCAATGGCGTAGCCACACCAAAGGCTACGGTGGGTTGTAGCACAGAGAGAGTTTGTGGCATATGTATATATATTTTAGTGCATAGTCTAATATAATAGACAAAAAAACCTGCAAGAAGAATTATTTTTTAATGAAACTAGCCCGGCGAGTATATAGCACAACTAGAAATATAAAACTTATCATGGAAATGGTGATGTCATTTTGTTCAATATTATTTTTCTTTGATTCAGCAGGTTCTATATTAGTTTCAATCAATTTTTTTAAGATTGCCTTTACATCTACTTTCATTGTTTTGATTTGTGCTAGTTGTGTGATTGTAATTGAGATGTCAAGTTTTCTATCTTCTTATTGTGTTTGCATCTAAATATATGTAAATTTGATGAGTCATTGTAATTGTTGCAGTTTGCAAATGCGAAGCTTGTTGAGTTTATGCCAAGTAAATTTTAAGTATACAAATACAAAAGTTAAACTTAAATTTTTGCATACAATATGTATGTAGCAAAAAAAAATTATCATTTGATTTTAGGGTAATTTTTTTAGCTAGCCCACCCATAAAAAAAAAATTATAGCTCCGCCATTGGTGACGAGATTGATTAAAATTCCTATACAAAATTAAAATTAAAAATAAAATTATCTTTATTATTTTATAAATTAAAAAATAATAATATTTTAATACAAATTGTCTGAGCGATTCAATTTATGGATGAAGATGTAGTTGGGCAATTACTGTTCACTAAAAATAGTTACTGCTCACTTGGGGGATTGGGTTGCCTATAGCCTAAGGAAATTTATGGGTGGAGTTGCTCTAAAGTAACCTGGAGCAATTACATAGGCTCCAAAGGCCATCAAAGGGAAGATACACACAACGTGCCACTTAAGTAGTAAATGAAGCCACATCAAAGCATGACAACTAACAATAAGTTAAACAGAAACAACAAGCAAAATTAAACATAATGGTGTAAGAAGAGGTAACTATTGTGTATTTATTATTTTTCAAAACAAAAAAACAAAAAACAAAGATCTCTACAAAAAAATATAGGGTAAATTACACAAAACTAACTCAACTATAGGTCGAACGACACTTTCATACCTCGTCTTTTTAAAATGACAATGGCATACCTCATCTTACTAATTTGTAACAATGTCACACCTCCGTCAGTTTTTCTGTTAATTTCTCTGTTAAATGTTGACATGGTCAGAGACATGACCCACTCACTAATCCAACTGGATTAAAAAATAATAAATATATTTTTAATAATTAAATATTCAAAAATTAAAAAAATTAAAAATTAAAAAACTAAAAAAAGGCCTAAGGGATCCGGCCTTCCCTTATACCCGCAGTACTAACCCTTTTCCTTTTTCTCTCATCTATTTCTCGCCTTTCTCTCTTCTCTCTCTCTGGACATCTGCATCCCCAAAACCCAGAAACCCTTCCCACCCCCAACCTTCCTCCACCACCTTCTCATCTCTCTATCGCCTTTCTCTCTTCTCTCTTTTCTCTCTCTCTAGACACATGCATCCCCAAAACCCAGAAACCTTTCCACCCGTCCCCCCCAACCTTCATGTACCACCCTCTCTCTCTCTCGGAGGATACACGAGGATGACACTGGAGCCGAAATCGGCCCTTGACCTGAGTAGAATTCCGTCATCGATACCAAGCTCGCCGCTGGGAAACTCGATCCGGTGAGTGGTGGGTGACACTAGATTGGTCGAGACGTCACCGATCTTGTTGAATATGAAGGAGGAGGGTGTCAGAGAGAATTGCAGGTTGTAGGGAGAGGGATGGGGGAAAAGCTGCAGGTAGCCCAAAGAGAGAAATATGAGAGAGAGAGAGAGAGAGAGAGAGAGGAAGGAGAAATGGTGGTGGAGGAAGATTGGGGGGAAAGATAGGGAAGAGTGGACAGGTAGGGAAGGTTGGGGGGATAGGTGAGGAAGGTTACGGTTTTCTATTTGAAAATGGGGAATTAGGGTTAGAGTTTGGGTTCGAAAAGGATGGGAAGAAGTGGGGGATTGGGGTGGGGTGGGGTGGGTTGGGTTGGGGGGATGGGGAAGAGTTTGGTGGCTATCGAAGAGAAGAAGAAGGTTGGTGCAGGTGGAGGAAAGGGGAGGCCCGTACCCCTAGGCCATTTTAATTTTTTTTTATTCTTAATTTTTGTTTGAATATTTAATTATTATAAATATATTTAATTAATTTTTAATCCAGTTGGATTAGTGAGTGTGTCCTGTCTCTGGCCACGTCAGCATTTAACAGAGAAATTAACAGAAAAACTGACGGAGGTTTGACATTGTCACAAATTCTTAAGATGAGGTATGATATTGTCATTTAAAAAAAAAAAGAGGTATGAAAGTGTCGTTCAATCCATAGTTGATGTAGTTTTGTGTAATTTACCCAAAAATATATATCCTATGTCAAATGGGCAAACTCCATTCATGTGGGATGGAGTTTACAAAGCAAAATGTTAACATTCCAATAAAACTCCTCATACACTCCTCGAAAGAAAAAAGAGAAGAAGAATTGAGGGCATGTTTAGTATTATTCTTAGATCCAATTATTTGTTTTCGAAACTAATAAGTATTAAGTAATTTACCTATAATCATCATTATTTAAAATATAAAATTGGATTGAAGAATGATACCAAATAAACCTTGAACTTTGAGATAAATTGAACTTGTGAGAAGTACACACGATTTTTGTCGGGGTACCATGTCCTATTAATTTTAAATTAGTAAATGATAAATTGTTTTGGTGGTTAGGAACTTTATCTTCAACCCATTACGTCATGTTCAAACTCATTTTATTTTCTGCATAGATTAGTGCAAAATATCACTGATCAAAATAATAATAATAAAAAAAAATTATTGGATCGGGTTCAGGTTGAGTTGTCAATCCAAACTCAGCCCATTACAACCCACCCAAATTTGTTTGTATTTGTATTTCATCAAAACAGACATGGGGCGTAGGGCGGGTGACAAAGGAAGAAATAAACGCAGACCGCTGCATTAGAGGTTCTCCTGCTTTTCGTTACAATTTGTTACATAGGTACCCTTTAATCCAAAAAATTTCAATTTCCCCAAATCCCATACTTCTAGGTTTAAGCTTCTTCAATCCAAAAATTATAACTTGTCTTGGTGTTCGACGAAGTGTCTGAACTGGGATTCATTTGATTATTATTTATCTCTTTGGTTTTTTTTTGTTTAATTTTTTTTTTTTTTTTACGAAGGCGCTGCGTAAGTTTGTGAACTGAGGTGGGAGATAGATGGAGGCAGGAAGCTCGGGTAAAGTTGGTGAAGGCGAAGGCTACAAACCTCCACCAGAATTTTCCCAAGTTGCTAAAGAACCACTTGTGGATATCAATATGAACGGCTCCACAGAGCTTTGGCTCATTTCTTGGCCGAAAGATCAAGTACGTTGCTTTTCGGTTTCCGGGTTCTTTTCTAGTACTTTTATTCAAGACCCATGTTTTAATTTTCCCGTATAAAAAGCAATGCCGAAGTTGTAAGTACTTTTACCAACTAGTTATCAACCTGTTTGATGGTCCTGAACAACTGAAACCTTTCGTAGCTGTTAGGGATTGACTTCGATGGCCTCGTGGTCCTTACGATGGCAAGATAAATGATAGTTTCATTAGAATCAGTCATGTTGTTGTTTGTTAATGTGATCATTGCGGGTGATCGATTTTTATGGGTTATTTTATGCGGGGTGCAGAATCCAGATTTTTGCCAAGAAGTTTCGCTCAAGCTTGGCACTGATGGAGAGTTGGGCAGTTTTGTCGGCCCATCTGGTAATTATACATAAACTTTAGTGATAGAAGAGGCATGTTAGAGTTATTGAGACGCAGTTCTTTTATCCATCTAATTTCAATAGCCAAGGAACCTCATTTGGGTATGACTCTGCAATGCATATTTATTTTTTAATAACGAGTGCTGATATTATGTTTTTAATGTTGGTAGGCAAAGAATATGATTTGCAAAGTACAGCTCAAAAGCCAGATGCTACAGTTTTTGTATCTTCTGCGTCAGGCACAAAAGTTGGTACGTTTGAGACCCTTCATATTAAGAATCTACATGAGACATAATGGTCTGAGTTTTGGTTCTTATGCTTAACTTCAGTTTCTTAATGTTTAGAAATTGGGACGGATCCTTGGCTTTACAGTTCGATGTTCCGTCAAAATTTAACCAACTTGAATTTGTTGAGCTGGCTACTTTACATACATCATTCATGTCCCATTTGTTCCTAAAATCTTTACAGTTGGCTCGTATGCTAGCTGAATATGTTCGTGATTAGGTTCTGCATATATCTTGTTTTCTTAACCAGTACAGGTGATCAGTACCTTCCCTTTTTATGTAATCACATTAAGTTCTGTTGCTGTATGGTATTTTAGTCATGTTGGGTTGAGATGGCAAACAGTTTTCTTTGGTGACAATATCTTGATAAATTTTTTTGTTATCGTTACAATTGTTGCTGTTGTTCTGCTGTCTTTACTGCAATGGCCTTTGCTCTCCGTTACTATCATATATTGAATTTGTTTATTATTTGGCAGCTGGGAAGATTTCACGGAATGTTTCTCTTGTGTTTTACCCGGAGCCCAGTGAACTTGAAGAAAAACTAAAGTCCAAACAGTTGAAGAAAATTCAGCAGATATCAGCTGGAATGTCCCGTTCTCCCCATAGTTTTGCAACTCCTACACGAAGTTCTATGCCGACAATGTCACGGACAGTATGGGGGCTCCCAACCCCCACTCATAGCAGCAGACAAATAAGCTCCATATCTGGTGTTGGAGAGCCATCACAGCTTCGAAAGAAAAGGCGTGCACCTGAACCTACTAGGTCCATGAACCACTCCGGCCAAAATTCAGGACGGCGTAGTGGAGTCACCGACTGAGGACAAGGTGATATAGCAGTTAATTCCTCAGGACAAGGTCATTGAAGTAAATCAAGAAAATTGAAGATGAGAGAATTGACCTCCCCATCAGTAAGGTTTTATTTCTTCTAAGTAGATTGCGCGAAAAGGGGTCTTGGTGGAGGATGATGTATTCAGTACTCTGTGTTGTTCTCGGGTTTGGGCGGACACTTGAAGCAGTATTACAAAGTTTGCTTCAATTTTTGTGCTGCCCAGGCTTCTTGTTATATATAGTTTGTAGTTCAATCTCTATTTGATTCTTGAAGCCTAATTTCAAATTTCTTTATCAATTGGCACTCATGTAGCTAAGCTAGTGCATCTAAACCTGGTCAGAACTCAGAAGTGTAATCTGCATTTTTCACAAGATTGCAGTTCTGTTGCCGGCGACGTTATGCCTTGCTTGTTCTTGAGGCTGCAACAGAAGCAGGTGGTTTTTTTGGGTGCAATAGTCTTGGGCCTGTACCAGATTCAACAGGTGCCCATTAACCAGTTTAGTAGTGTGGAAATGTTGTGAGGTGGTTGTAATGCCGGGTGCTTCTATCTTAACCACTCTTCAAAAATGCTATTAGCACTTAAAAGAGTCATCATGCATTATTCCTGGTTTATTTTATTGATTGGAAAACGTTCGTTAAAAACTTTTTTGAATTGTCAGTAACAAAGTTGCACAAAATATCGACTACTATCCCAACTTTATATTTTTTTAATCAAATGTGGCAGTACTCGTTGTGTACCCAACAGGTAGACCCACCAGCATTGCCATCACCGCCACTACCACCTTCTTAACCTGTAATGAGGAAGGACATTTTACTATGATCGACTGATGTAATTCACAGTTTAGGGCAATTTCATGATTGAGTTTGTGAGTTGAGGGCCGATACTCAAATGTAGCAATGCAAGGTAAGAATATCCTTCACCCATGGACCATGGAGTATCCGTCCACTTGTTCCTGACAAGCTGATAGAAAACCCTCCGGGCTCGTCTAGCAATGCACACCCCTTGCCGCTTTGGTGTGCTTGCTTTTGTCGTTTTTCTTTTTTACCCAACTGGGTACCAGGCGGGTGATTAATGGAAAGGGATCCTGGATGGGTTCTGTTATTGGGAATCTTAAAGATTTTATGATCGTGATCGTTCATCGAACATTGTGCAGTTAGAAATTATTTTAAAATTTAAAATTAAATATAAATAGTAATTAACAAAAACTAACAGTACGATATACGATAAACGGTTACGATCATTGAATCTCTAGGATCTCAGGAAAAGAATCCGAAGAGGATCTTTTCAGTGATTAATTGATGTAAATCTCCCCCCCCACCAATTAAAATAATACACGTGTACGTCAAACCACCTTTTCATAGACCCACTGTTTTCCAGATCCAACGAGCGCAGCTTTACACTCGTACCGTTTTCGAACATGATGATTAACAAATGAATGAATAGGAGATTCTTACGGATACTTGGAAAATTCAGACCCCAAAAAAAAAAGGATATTTGAAAATAAATTCCAATTTCCAAACATACAAATAGAAAAGAGCTAATTATTTTATGAAAAATGTTACTTTGATACAAAAAAGGAATACTAATTACCTGTGGACATATTGAAAATGGAACATACAATTTCTATTTAAAACATTAAACCCTTTGTAAATAAGAGGGTTTGAATTCAATTTTCACTAAAAACAAATTTTAAATTATTATCGTCAGCTCATTTTCACACATTTTAGTATATATAATATTGTATATATTAAAAAACCATTAGACAATTAACGATTCAAATAACTCGTGTGTATAATTGTGTATGCCTCTTTTAACTATTTACATAATATGTGTGAAAACCGAAATTTAGAAGGCAATCAAATTACATTTGGACTAACTTTTCTTCTCGCCCAATATTGACCTGACATAAGAGCGAGTTGAACTGTTAAAAATTTTAATACTCTAAGTAGTGATGTAAGAAATTAAAACAACTTTCCACTAATTTTAACACAAACGAAAAGATAATTACACTAATTTTATTTGAATTATGAAAAAGAAAATTCAAACTCTAGAGAACAAAATATATTGTTTTGGCTAATTTGAGTGAATTAAAGAAAAATACTTATTTATTAAATAAAATATTTGAATATCCAGAGTTGTATATACACACGACTCAGGGCTTCGCTTACTCACACTGTGTCACTACCCGACTAGAGTTTTGGGTCTCTACTGTCCTTCTCCTCCCATCTTTTCTGCGCTCCAATCTGCAATCAGGTACGAAACCCTAATTCCTTCTTTCTTATCCCCAATCCTTCGCCTTTATCTTCTCTCATGCATTGTCCTTCTGCTTCAACTTTTCGTTAATCTGATGAAATTTTCACCAGATTCTAGTTCCCTTTTCACTCCTTGATTGTTTGATTGCCGAGAAAATCGAAGCTCCGATTCAATTTTCCTGCAGCCGGACGAAGCATTTGTATAAATTCGTTTATTTTGTGCTGAAAGTTAGATCTAATCGAAATCTACTGTTAAAAGTCGTGAAATTTTTGTTGGGTTTTCGTTAGAATTGGCGGTGAGTGGTATTGTTCATTGAAAGCTGCTAATTTTCTGTATTTGTGTGTGGATTTTTCTGCTAGGTCCCTGTAATTGGACCAAATTATGGTGACAATGGATATGGATAACAAGCTTTTCAGTGTGGGGCTGATGATTTTGGCCACTCTGGTGGTGGCCAAGCTGATCTCAGCGCTAATTATGTCTCGATCTGGAAAGCGTCTTCCTCCGGTGGTGCAGACGTGGCCTGTGCTCGGAGGACTGCTCCGATTCTTGAAAGGCCCCATTATCTTGCTTCGTGAAGAGTACCCGAAGCTCGGGAGTGTGTTCACATTGAATCTGCTTAACAAGAAGATCACTTTCTTGATTGGTCCTGAGGTTTCTGCCCACTTCTTCAAGGCCCCGGAGGCTGATCTTAGCCAGCAGGAGGTATACCAGTTCAATGTGCCCACTTTCGGCCCTGGAGTTGTGTTCGATGTGGATTACACGGTGAGGCAGGAGCAGTTCCGATTCTTCACGGAGGCTCTCAGGGTAAATAAACTTAAGGGATATGTGGATCAGATGGTTACTGAAGCAGAGGTAAGTGTTTCGGTTGAATATCATTATTTGATTTGGAATTTTGCTGGTTTTGTTGTTTATCTGATTGCTTCAGCCTTCAACTTGTTTAGTAATTTGTTTACATTTGCTTTAGAGAAGATCCTCTAGATTCATGAAAAAGTAGCAATATGAGATGTAATCTAAGGCTCACTTCTCTACCACTTGCCCCAGTTGTATCCCAGGACTTGCAAGTTTTGCAAGGAACATTAATTGGAATGAGGGTCCTTTAAACCAGACGTGTTTCGCCTTCCTGAACTATAAATTTTATTCTTGATACAAAAGTAGCAGTTTCGCAAGGAACATTGATTGGAATGAGGGTTCTTTAAATTCTTATACAAAATATGTATTGCAAAGGGCGTGGTTATATTTCTCTGAATCAGAACGAGAATAAATCACCCCAAAACCTCAATTAGATGCAAGGCACGACTGAAGATTTCATCATTTCATTTATTCTAGAAAACTAATACATAGGGTCTTCCATGATGTTAATTCTTGTCTTCCAATTTTACTGTGCAGGATTACTTTTCCAAGTGGGGAGACAGTGGCGAGGTGGACTTAAAGTATGAGCTTGAGCATCTGATTATCTTGACAGCCAGCAGATGCCTCTTGGGTCGTGAAGTTCGTGATAAGCTCTTTGATGATGTTTCAGCATTGTTCCATGACCTTGACAATGGAATGCTTCCAATCAGTGTCATCTTTCCATACCTGCCCATCCCAGCTCACCGTCGCCGTGACCAGGCACGCAAGAAGCTTTCAGATATTTTTGCAAGGATCATAAACTCCCGTAAGCGTGCTGCACAGTCTGAGAATGACATGTTGCAATGTTTCATTGACTCAAAGTACAAAAATGGCCGGCCAACAACTGAATCTGAGGTCACTGGCTTGCTCATTGCTGCTCTCTTTGCTGGGCAGCACACCAGTTCCATCACTTCCACTTGGACTGGGGCCTATCTCCTCCGTCACAAGGACTTCTTGTCTGCTGTGTCAGAGGAGCAGAAAAACCTAATGAAAAAGCACGGAAAGAAGGTTGATCATGATATATTGGCAGAGATGGATGTCCTGTATCGTTGCATCAAGGAAGCTCTCAGATTGCACCCTCCACTGATCATGCTGCTGCGAAGCTCGCATAGTGATTTCAGTGTACAAACCCGCGAGGGCAAAGAGTATGATGTCCCGAAAGGGCACATAGTTGCCACATCACCATATTTTGCCAACCGGCTTCCTCATATTTATAAGGAGCCAGACACGTACGATCCTGATAGATTTGCTGTGGGTAGAGAAGAAGACAAATCTGCAGGGGCATTCTCGTATATCTCGTTTGGAGGTGGCAGGCATGGATGCCTTGGTGAGCCATTTGCATACCTACAGATAAAGGCTATATGGAGCCACCTGCTGAGAAATTTTGAACTGGAGCTGGTATCACCGTTTCCCGAGATTGATTGGAATGCCATGGTTGTGGGTGTGAAAGGAAAGGTGATGGTGCGGTACAAGCGAAGGGAGCTTTCTGTTGAATAAAGGCAAGGACTTTTTGAATGTTCAGCAGGTTTGAATTATTTGCTCTTAAGATGTTTTCGGTCCTTGTATGTGTTGATTTTCTTCTCGTTTTGCAGTTAACTGTTGATGATTTGCACTTCTATCAGATTATGGATCTTGTTTAGTGTCATTAATTTATGCTGACGATCATAGCTTTTAATAATAGAAACTTTAACGAAAAGCTCCCGGTACTAGTCACTTTAACGAAAAATCATATTTTTACACTAAAAAGTCAATCCTGGTACTAATCACTTTACCTTTTATTTTGTCCTTATCGTTAAAACTCAAAGTTTTCAAGCCTTTTTCATTAGTTTTTCTTTTAATATAACTTTTATTTCAATTATCGGGCTACCTGCAGTCGTTCATTGTTCTCTTCTCAGAAAAAAAAAGAAAAAAAAAAAAAAAAGGTTCAGGTACAGAAGTAATTAGTGCACAAGGATTTGATGGTGTTTGTTGTTATAAATTTGCTACCTCATCTAATCGATATTCTGGCATCCGGAATAAGATTCTCTACGACAAGTAAGCCGCATTCTTTCGCCAGCCAACCGATTTCCTATTGAGCTCATCAGTTCGGTATGATCTTGATGAGCTCAATATCGAACAGAAGAGTCTTGTCTATCAACCCTTGGTTCCGCAGCACGAAATCCAATGCTCGTTGTCCCTGTAACACGTTACACATCGACATTGCACCTTGTAAGGAGAAGCAGAAATGGATTACATGAATCGCCAGAACGACAAAAGATTTACCGAAAATGTTGTCGGCCTTGGGGCACTCTTGTTGTAGTCATTCTCAGGATATCCCAATTCTGGGGGCACTACGATCCTGTGGTGTACCCATCCCAATCAACCTGAAATCCATCCAACGATCATAACCTGCAACAATGACTCAACAAAACACGTAGGGGGATACGACAGACAAATTTATCTAGCAAAATTGGCTCAATCCCAAACAACCCTATCAACATGTGAAAGCTTGAAAGCGTGCACTCGGAGAATGAGTGGCTTACCACAACGGTCTCTCCTACCTTCGGTTTGGGGCCATCTCCTACTCGCAAGTCCTGCATTTCTTCTTAGATAAATCATTCGATGAAATAACTAAATCAAACTTTGGAGAGCTTGAAACTTCATAAAAACAAGGAGGCTAAAATTTTGTGTGTTCCAATGGTTAACCTTGTACTGAAGACCTGATTCAGTTTCTGTATAGTCCGGATAACTCATTTTCGACTTGCCATAGTCCTTCCCCCGAAGTGCTGGCACTAAAAGTAGTTCCAAAACAATCACAATGCAACAAAAGAATGTGAGGGAAAAACGCGGTGCATCTCTTGTGCCCATCTCTCACATCGAGTGACACACTTGTCTGTCTCTCACATCACATGATATGTCACATGAGGAGAGTATGAACAACAAAATAAAATATACAAACGGTAAAATCTAGTACACAAATGTACATGACTACGACTAATGAGCAGGGTTATTGAAGGATGGCGATTTTGGGACTTCCTATTTTTAACCATCTGCACTCCAAACTTGAATAATCTACGATGTTTCGGCACTCACAGAGGATTGCAGGAGGCTAAAACAGGAGATCGGACGGCGGTCGTGGTGGAGATCGGACGGCTGAGATTGAAGACATGGTAGATGTGGTGCTACTTGACAAGGGAGAGAAAAGGGTGGACTACTGGAGTCTGAGCCGTGAAGTGGTGATTGGGGAACCACTGAACCAGGGAATGTGTTTGGCGGGAAGATGACGGCCTCAACTTGTCTGGCCCAACCCCTCTATTTTACCATTCCTTTCCTTATTCTTTTCTTATTAACATGAGCTCGATATCAAATTATTATGACTCGCTTATTGTATGAGCTAACCTCAATTCTCTAGTACTATTTAATTTTATTTCGAATGTGTAACGAATAAAACAAACATTTACCAAGTTATAATACCAGATGGTCAGATCAATGTGCTTGTACTAAGTTCGAATTTTCTTTCCGTCAATTGAATAATATTGTCAGTAAAATTAACAGTCTAGAACAACACGAGGGCATTTTCTTTCCATGAAAAAACATGAAAATCCATAAACTTTCCATCAGTAGTATGAAGGTAACTTAAAATTCGGCCGTCGGATTCAAGAATTTTGAGCTTCATGATTCAATTTGCGAGCTGAAATGGAAAATCTTGCAGAGAATAACATTGAGCATCATCTACTTGACGGCCCATAATTCTCAAATCCAAATGAAACGTACATTTCTGAAGGTAACTGGCTACTAGCTTCACCTTCATAGAGTGGGGGAAGGAAAGAAAACAATGCCAAACATAAGTGCAACAGCAAATTGTAATATCCCACTCAACCTGTTGCTGGAAAGAACTCGTCAAACGTAATCAACGTCTTACAAAGCACCAGGCTAAATTTACAGGACGACAACCCCCACCAGCTTTATTCAACTCACACAAATAGTTCCGACATCTTACATCTTACAGACTAACCAATTTAAGAGAGTTGGCCTTCTCTTGCAGGGTGTCTAGCAGGCTGTCGAAACTCTTCTTGAAAGAATCCACTCCCTCAAGTTCGAGTTGATTCCCAACGTAGCTCCAGTCGATTCCTAACTTCTCCAGTGCACTGTAAATGCCTTCAGCTTCGGATACATTGGAATCAATTGTCCTTGAAACTGTGCCATGGTCGACAAATGCTTGAAGAGCTTGGTCTGGCATGGTTGAAACCTGCAAAAGGAAAGTCGGCATTAAACATTAAGCAATATGAATCAACAAATCAACATTGACAGAGTAAATATTCCAATTATGAAGTCTATTTAAGCAAGTAATGTATCATCACAGATGTAAAATCATAGTAATAATAACCATCAAGCATCAGAGATCAGGTTGGACAATGGGATGGCTCACCGTGTCGGGGCCTATGAGAGGAGCAACATATAAAGTATCGGGGTAGGCAGGATTCTTGACGCTGGTTGAGGCCCAAAGCAGCCTCTGCTTCTTAGCACCTTTTTTCACCAAAGCCTCCCATCTAGGGCCAGAGAATTTCTTTTGGTAGAGTTGGTATGCCAAAGCAGCTTGAGCTACTGCAGCCTGACATAGTTAACTCATCACGTTAGCAAATCTCACATTCAAGGTTTATGTTCGTGATTAAAAAAAAGAGAGTTGAACATCTGATTTTGATTAAAAAAAAGAGAGTTGAACATCTGATTTTGATATACCTTTCCTCGAAGGTCAAGGGCCTCTGGATTTCCAATCTTTTCAAGCAACTTGTCAATGAGGGTGTCCACCCTACTGACAAAGAAGGAAGCAACACTTGTGACTCTGGAGAGGTCGCTTAGTCCAGAAGCCTCAAGGCCGTCCAAGTAAGCATCAATCACCTCCTCATATCTACTGAGCGAGAATATAAGCTGTGCACAGACATTAAGAGAAAGTATGAGTTAACACTTCTACAATTAGGGAATTGCAATTCTATTATATACTAAATAGTTCGGTCGAATGAGAGATGATGCCACAGCCCCAAAAACTTCTTCTCATTAAAAAGGCCTAACAAGAACAATGATCACTCTGAACTCAAGAACTTATGACAACTATAGCACATAGTGTAGATTTCATCTACGCTGTCAAAATAATCACCTATGAAAAGCCCAACCATACCACCACACAAACTTAAAATTCCATTCAGATGCACTTTCGTACGACTTTGTTGGCCATCTATTCTTGGTGAAGCAAAGATTCAAAATTTCACCCCATAAAGAGGAAAAAATAATTAGTATAGTAGAATTGAACTTACAGTCACATTGACACTTATGCCATTTGCTATAACTTCCTTAATTGAAGGAACGCATGGAGCAGTGGCAGGAATTTTTATGTAGACATTAGGACGGGCAACTACTTTATGAAGCCATTTTGCAGCATCCACAGTCCCTTGGGTGTCATCAGCAAGTCGGGGAGAAACTTCAACAGAAACGTAGCCATCACCAGCATCTGTTTGATCATAGATAGCCTCAAAAAGTTTGCAAGCATCTTGAATGTCCTTCACCACAAGTTCCCAATATGCACTTTCAATGTCTTTTCCTGACTGTACAAGTTCCCTGCAAATTCCATTAGAATATGTTATTGACATATGAACACTGTGTAGCAAGGGGTATGCCGGTTAAAAAATTTAAACTCAGAAAGAGGGACAACAAATCCAACTTTCCCATCCCAGATGCCAAGAGCTTACAACCAGAAACTCAACAGAGTTCCACACGCAATCATTCCAGATATACATGCGATTCAAATAAAAAATACCGCAACCACAGCCCCTTCTGACCAACCAAGATAATCATTGAAAATACCTGAATTGGTCATTGTAAGCATTTGAAGTTGAGATTGCTTTCTGGAAAATCTGCAATCCCGCATTATATAGAGCTAGTTAGATCGGATTGCACATAAAACACGAAAACTGAAAAAGGCATGGTAAATAAACGATATTCAACGAACATATTGACAGTTTCACTTCCAACCCATTTCTCATTTGATCTTAAACCAATAAGCAAAGTTCAAAAAACATAAGATAAATGAGTAATTACCGCTGGGTTACTGGTTACACCTCGAACCCCGCTTGCGATAAGCGGAAGCAGATCCGTCACAGGCCGGCAGAGGTTATCATACCACGGACTCTGTCCCTCCTTCTCATACAGATCATGGAGATAAGTTCTCTTCACCGGATTTCCATTCCCATCACTCTGAGAACACCTCACCCTGCAAAAGAAGCAAACTTCCGTCAACCCAAATGAGCAAACCTTTTCCATTTGCAATCAAATCAGCAACCCAGAATACTAAATTACACAACTTTCAAGTTTCATCAGAAAAAAAAACGAAATCAAGCAAAAGAAACAAAGCTCGAATCCAGCTTCTGATCCAAAAAAAAAAAAATCAAACAAAGATAATATGCAATCGGAAAAAGGGGAAGACTTACACCAGAGAGCCCCGGAGAGAGGGCTTGGTTCGTACGGAGAGCTTGGAGGAGAGTTTGGAGTTGAAGGTGGCGGCGGGGGTGGCGAGGAGGCGGACCAAACACTTGGGCTGCGGCGTTCTGGGGCTGAAGGTGGAGGACAAGGAGGAAGCGGGGGTGGGATTGGAGAGCTTGGAAATGGAAGCCATTGCTGGATCACAGAGAAGGTGGGGGAGAGGGGGGGGGGGGGGTTGGTGAAGACGCGAAGACTGATTGATTACTGAAGGAAGGGGCTTTTACATTTATTTACGATACCAACGATGAAATTTTTTTTCTTTTTCTTTTTTTGGGGTTAAATATTTTTGGATGATTTTCGGCAGACTCGAAACGGTAGGTTGAAGACAAGCACTCAATCGCGCCGATGGAACAGTTGGTAGGGACTTGCCGCTCACTTTGCAGGTGCCAACGCTTACTCAATCATGACGTCATTTTTCTATTTTCAAATATTTTTAAAGAAAATTTATCTCTAGACAAAAATGATTAAAACTCGAAATTGTTAGGTCGTGAATAAAATTGAAGAATGAATACAGAACCATTGTTTGAAAAAAAATAAAAAAGCATTCAAAAGGATTGTACGAAATTATTGTAACAGTTGTAGTGAATTATTATTAATACTTTTTATTTTCCAACAATTATTATTAGTACTCTAAAAAAATTCATCGTGTTCATTATACTTTTATAAAATTATAACGGAAGAAATACATAATATTTTAACCACGAGCTAGTGGCCCAATAGTAAAAGAGGAATTGCAAGGCTTTCTCCAAATTAAAAACTGGAGGTCTTGAGTTCGAAATTCGCTACAAGTGTGGAAGCTAGACTTATAGCCAAGAGAGGCTGAAATGGAATGTTTCCTTAATTTGAAGAGTGATGCATGGTTTACATATGATGCACGGTTTACATGAATAACGTATGTTACATGGTTTGCAATTTGCATTTGGATACTATATTGATGTTGTTGAAGAATGTGGTCCAATCTTATAAGAGAAAATAGGTCACGAAGTTTGGCACACATTTAATTTTGGATCATATAAATATTAACTTTTATGATCTAAATTCAATTTACTAAAAATACCACTTGAAATGCGAGAAGTTTAATTATAAGAGTAATGATATTCATACAATCTTTTTATACAATACCATATTAGGTGGCATTTGATGTGGATAACCACATCATTTGAAAAATTTGCAAAACCCAATGAAAGAAAGGAGAAAGACTTCTTGTATACCACAATCATCATTTAATTAACTAGTTTTTTTAATTATTAGTTTATTAAATAATGAACTAAATTTAAAAATCTGATTACTTCAAATGATGTGGCTGTTCACATCAAATGTCACATAAGATGTTATGAAAATGTGGTACAAAAACATGGTGTGAATAGTATTATTGCACAATTTTTTAATATTCAAACCTTGAAAAGTGAATTGGATTTGGTCAAAACTCACAAGGAAAGATTTGAGCATAAAATGTCGAGTATAAAAGCAAATAATTGCAACCAATTCAATTAAAAGTTTTTTTTTTATTATTATTTTTTATTTTTTTATAGATACATGGAAGTAGGATTCTCTTCCTTCCCTCTCACTTTCCTCTTTGTTTTTTCTCTTTTTTTTCTATAAAAAGTCAATACAAGATATTGACGTGATTTAATCGTGACCGATCAAATATGAGATAACTGAAGGAGAGAATAATTTAAAAGAAAAAGAATCAAACTCTAAATACGTGATCAACCATGTACATGTTGCGTGCAAGTATATAACTGTACAAGTAGAAGAAGAAGAAGCAGCCAATTTTGCATCATATTCTGCAACCTTTAATATATATCAGCACTTGTGAATCCATATGTCATTATTCAACTGTTAGCTTGTGATTGTGAGCTGAAAAATTCAAATGAGGGCTCTCCAGAATTTAGAACCCCACTAATATTTGACAAGCAGTTAAAACTGAAGCTGGACTTTCAGGTATATATGACCATCCAATCCATAATAATTGTATACAAGCTAACTTAGGTACATTAATTGCTAATAGACGTAACATATATCCAAGCTAGAGGTCAATTTTGCAGCAATTCAATCAAAAACCGGTCCGCGCAAGTGGCTATATATCACAGTGATGGAAAACAGTGTTGTTGTTGCATCACGGTATGAGTTCGAACCTCGTCAACTTTGTAATCTAACCTTTAATCTAATAAATTTATTATTTGACAAAGAAATAAAAAACCAGTTGGCCCTCGCATGTTTATTGAAATTTTTTTCTAACACACGACTTCTAGAATTTAAATATTTCGATTTTTTTAATAAGTAATATCTTTTGTAATAATTAAAAAATAAAAAATATACCAAAATGATTTTTTTTTTCTTCTGCTTTGCTACTACAATATTTACTTTTCTCAGATTTTAGTACATTATTATTCTAATGGCAACTTGGGGAGAGAGATTACGTTTATAAACAGATACATACCTGGTTTAAAATATTGTCACACGCACAATAGAAGCCATGTGGTAGGTAAAATAGAACTTTGAAGGTTGGACATAATTATATTTTAATTACAATTAGTCGTAGGGCCAAAATAAATGAGGAAATGGCTTTAAATTGCTTTAAATTGACTTCTCGAATTATATTAATTTATCAAATATTTTACTTTAATTAGTTGCTTGACCCCATCAAATCCCCGACTTTTAGGATAGCTCAAGGGCTGAACTTCTTTGTTATGGTTTGCAAGTTCAACACCTAGCACTGCAATATTTATTTGAAATACTGTCATTTTAGTTTTTATATATTTAATTTTTTAAACAAACGAGATTGTTTACCATAAAAGGAAAGGGTGAACTTAGTCTTATAATAAACTAGCAATAATGTGGTTCAAATTCGCTTTTGTCAATAATCAAATATAAGACCTCTCAGTTCCAGTAACGAAGAATACAACTGAACTGTAGTACTAAATTATTTGTCTCAGCATCTTTATGCGTAAGTAAGTCTTGATCTCTGATGACACTTGAATAAGAGGATTATTAAAAATAAGTTTTTGTGTCATGAATCAAAAGAAGGACCGATTTGTCAAATAAAATTGTAGATTTTGAGAGACTTTCCATTGAGATTTTTGAGGGTAGAACCCTATTTGACAATGTTTTGAGTCTCACTACTATATTTTCACTTATTTTTTTAGTTTTTGACTTAAATACTCTACTAAATATACATTTACTGCTCAATAAACAGTAAAACTGCTTCCAAATTCCTTAAAAAGTTCAACTTAACGCATAGGAAAAATATTTTGCGAGCGGGCTCAACGCACACAAAACAAGGCGGACTTAGCTAACGCAAAACGAGACGAACCATGACATGCAAAACAAGGTAGGCTCGTCTCACAGAAAATTGGGCAGGCTTCTGGCATGCAAAACGAGGTGAGCTCCGAAAAACGAGATCGGATACGACGCCCAAATCAAGGTGTGTAGGGAAAACAAGATTGGCTCCGTGCAAGCCAAAACGATGCAGGTCGGGCTCTATGCACGAAAAAATATATTTTGAAGAACATGAATACGATAGTTTGTTGTAATGGTAAGAGAAATAAAAGAAAAATTAACAAAAAGGTACAAAAATGATTGAAATTCCTTGACTTTCTGGCACCCCGGAATTTGAATTTTTTTTGTTAATTTTTCTTTTATTTGTCTTACCACTACAACAAATTACCATATTCATGTTCTTCAAAATATACTTTTTCGTGCAAAATCTATTATAATTCATAGTTAAACACTTGTAATCAACGATTTAAAACATAAATTTAAAGATATTTGAACCTTTTTTCTTGTTGTTAATTTTTGTTTCATCTACATCTGAAATACATATTAATAGAATTATCTTTGTCAACCCAAATTGGAGGAAAGACTATTTAACAAAACAAAATTTTGCTATTTTTTTTTTGTTTAGGCCTCACCTACATGTGATTTTCACATTTATAACTTGAAAAAAAAATTAAAAATATACACTAAATATACATTTTAACATCTCTATATTTTTCACTTATTTGATTACTTTTGACCTTAAATATTCTACTAAATATACATTTGTTGCTCAATAAATCATAAATCATAAATCCGCTTCCAAATACATTTTATAAAGATTTTTTTAATGCTCACGGAAAATATTTCGAGAAAATAAAAAATTTGCATTTTTTACAAAAACGTGGATTAACACTCACAGTTTTCAGTCGGTTTTGCAAACTTGTACATAATCACCATTTAATCTTTTTATTTTCACCTTCGTCTCATTGTAAAGTTTTGAAAATTAAGGTGAGACTTTCTGTTGAGATTCTTGAGTGTAGAACCTCATTTGACAATATTCCAGGCCTCACTACTATATTTTTCACTTATTTTTTTAGTTTTCGGCTTAAATATTCTACTAAGTATACATTTGTTGCTCAATAAACCGTAAAACTGCTTCCAATTTCCTTAAAAATTTTAAGTTAATGCTCAAGAAAAATATTTTGCGAAAATAACAAATTTGCATTTTTGTCAAGAAACACATGTGTTAGGTGGGCTTGGTGCATGCAAAACAGGACGGACTCAGCTCATGTAGAACGATGTGAACCATGGCACGCAAAACAAGGCGAGCTCAGCTTACAAAAGGGGCGAGCTTCTGCAACGCAAAACGAGGCGAGCTCCGCGCACCGAAAATGAGATGGGATACGGTGCACAAATTGAGGTGGGCATTGAAAATGAGGCTGGCTTTGTGCACGTCAAAACGATACAGGCTCCGTGGACGCAAAAAGAGCAGGCATCTGGCACGAAAAATGATGCGAACACCTCACATGCATAACGAAACGGGCTCTGCGCAAGCAGAAGGAGGTGAACTCTCGGGTGCTTAGAAAACGAGTTGGGCTCCATGCATGGAAAAATATATTTTGAAGAACATGAATACGATAGTTTGTTGTCGTGGTAAGAGAAATAAAGGAAAAATTAACAAAAAGGTACAAAAATTATTCAAATTTCGCGTGACTTTCTGGTACCTCGGAATTTGAATCATTTTTGTTAATTTTTCTTTTATTTGTCTTATCACTACAACTAACTATTATATTCATGTTCTTCAAAATATATTTTCCCGTGTAAAATCTATTATAATTTATATTTAAACACATGTAATCATAGATTTAAAACCTAAATTTAAAGATATTTAAACCTTTTTTCTTTTTGGTAATTTTTCTTTTATCTA